AAAATTCCAAAACCAGTGTCAAAAATCCTTTCCGACCAATTTTAGGGTTCCAGCACGGCTTCTTTTGAAGATGCCTAATACTGGTTGGTGGAGACAGAGAAGGCTTTCAAGACCCTAGGAGTGGTTCCCGAGTAGAAGGTCACCCTTGCTACCTACATGCTGGTGGGAGAAGCAGATCGTTGGTGGGAACTCAAGCAGACCACCTTGCCTGTTCCAGTCACTTGGGAACAGTTCTTAGCAGCCTTCCATGTGGAGTACCTCCCAGACCACATCCGACATTTAAAGGAGATGGAATTTGTCCAGTTAGTCTAGGAAAACATGACAGTATCGGAATATACTCGTAAGTTCCTGGAGTTGGGCTGATACTCTCCTGAGACGTTGATGGATGAGGGCAGGAAAGCTAGGAGGTTCTAGTGGGGCCTCTGCCTAGAGATCAAGCAACACTTATTTGTACTGGAGCTCAAGACATACTCAGCCGTTCTCGCAAAGGCACAGTTAGTGGAGAAGAGCCTCCACACCCCTCCTCAGTCAGCAGGGAGTCACAGACCCTCAGCTCCACCCTGTAAACCAGCACCTACTACACCCGTCCAATAGAATAAGAGGCCCAGACCGGTGATCCAGACTCCCTCTCAGGCTCCAGTGGCAGGACGTGGAAAGATCTGTCAGCATTGCGACAGGGATCACGGGGACCGACCATGTTACCGCCTCAACAACACTTGTCGCATATGTGGTAGTGCCTAACACTATGCGAGAGAGTGCTCAAGGAACCGGAATCAAGGAAGACCTCCTATTCAAGGCAGGGTTTACAACCTTACCCAACAGGATGACGACGCCGACCCGGACGTAGTACAGGATATGTACACTATCTGTAACCATTTTGCTCATATTTTGTTTGACACTAGTGCATCGCATTCATTTATTTCACCTGTTTTTGCATCCAAATTTAATGTTTTGCCTGATAAACTTGATTCGATGTTAATTGTATCTACTGCTGGGAGTGCAACATTACTAGGAGAAGTTGTCTACAAGGCTTGTGTCGTGGAGATAACAAATAGGAAACTGAGTGTAAACCTGATAGAATTAGACACATGGGATTTTGATGTAATTTTAGGGATGAATTGGCTAGCGGCGTATCACACCACCATAGATTATTTTAGCAAAAAGGTTGTATTCAATCCTCCAAATGGGGAGCCATTTACAAATTAATAAAATCAT